TAATGCTTTAGAGGTGAGCTTATTTGATCAAACCCTTGAGAACCCTTGAGAATTTTGAGATCTTTAGTGAGAAATGTCTTGAGAAATAAGAGGGAAAATTTTGGGGTACAACAAATAGATATGCTAATAAATCCGCGTAACCCATTGCACCAGCCTCCATGCAGCATTGTATTATCAAATGGTGTTTTATTTATCCCCTAAGTTGTGATAAATACACATTTTCCTCCTTTGTGATAGAGGTCTTTGCTGCAGGATCCATGCAGCAATGTGTGAAATCTGCAATATAACTAATCGCCTCAGTCTCCATGCAACGATGTAGTTATCAAGCTTTTTTCAATTATCTATCCCCTAGGTTGTGATAGATATGCGAATAAATCCACGTAATCTATTGCATCGGTCTCCATACAGCAATGTATTATCAAATGGTGTTTTATTTATCCCCTAGGTTGTGATAAATACATAGTTTCCTCCTCTGCGATATAACCCATTGTATTAGTCTCCGTGCAATGATGTGGGAAATCTGCGATATAACTCATTGCGTCAGTCTCCATGCAGCGATGTTGTTATCAAGCGTTTTCAATCATCTACCCCCTAGGTTGTGGTAGATGTGCGAATTGCTGGTTCATATTATTCATTCTCTAGGTTGCAATGAATAAGTGAATTCATCCTTAGATTATTTTCTCTCTCAGTTGTAGTAAACGTTACGAAGTTGGCAATATAACTCATTGCATCAGGATCCAAGAAGCAATGTAGTTATCGAGCTCTTTTCAAATATTTATCCCCTAGGTTGTGATAAATATGCTAATAAATCAGCGTAATCCATTGCATCAGTCTCCAGGAAGAAATGTGTTATCAGACTTTGTTTTATTCATTCCCTAGGTTGCGATGAATAGACAAAATCAAATCGAATCCAAACTTACTATATTAGTCTCCAACCATTAGTAAGTCAACTTTTTCAAAACTTGTATTTTTATAGATATGCACAAAAAAAAATCTACAATCTCTCTTAAATACTCACGAGTTATCTGTGTTGTCGTGTCCGAGTTAAATCAAAACTTTGGTTTAAACGCTGGTAAAATGATACAACATCATCTATACTTACTCTTCAATCATATCTCTCTATTCAAACTCTTATAGGATGATGCATCATCCTCTTTGCCTATTTCTTTATTCAAACTCTGGTAGGATGATACATCAACGTCCTTACCTATCTCTTGGAGCTCTGAGGTATGCTACATCAGTGTACCCTTATTTAATAATGCTTTGGTCCAATTTTTGGGGTCTTCCACTATTTAATAACCCTCCGATTCGAACGAGCGAGACCTGCGATTCTCGCACCATTCAATCGAAGAGCGATTAAATAGGGGCAACTGTCAAACCCTAAATTTTCCCGGCATGTATCACTACGGTCGAAATTAATTTCAAACTTGGATTTTTATAAAATTTTCTTGATTTAAATTATTATTTTGAGGTTTTATAAATAGTCGTTCTCAAGTCCAGTTAAAAATATAATAATTTATTTCAAATTATTTGTATTTTTAAAATAGTAAATATTTACACACTTTTCATATACTTTCAATTGAGTTTATTTACAAATGAGTAACATAGAACAATTGGTAAAGAATGAAGCTTGCAAGTATGAGGTCAAAGGTTCGAATCTTGTGTGTTACATTTTTAACATTCTTTCTATTTCTTTTTGTTACTAATTTTATTTCCTTTTTCGGAAATCGGGCTTGGGCTTTTCATACATTTTGGATAACTTACTCTCTAAGTTTTTTTAACCTAATTCAAGTCTATAAATAGGACTCTTATTTATCCTAATCTTTCATCCATAATTTTGCAATTGCACACACACAATCAAGAATTTTACAATTAGCACATCCATAAAATTTCCAATCACACACAAACTTTTGTTTCGTTTTATTTTTAGGTTCATAACTCTATTGTTGTCTATATATGACAACAACAAAAATTTATTTATTCTTGGCCAAGGGTTTTATATGAGGCCCTCCCATTTGCTTTTGATTCCATCCTTTTAAATTTATTTGCAATTCTTACCATATGATGATAATTATTTGATAGACTTTTTTTATTATTTAAAAATTAGATTTTTTACGTATTTATATATAACCATTTGTACATATTAACACACATATTCTCCCAAAATTTCCTAAAATCTCGTTTGATCAAACTTTTCAATGTAAGGAAAAAATACTTCTTTTACAAAAGCACATTTTTTTACCATCATCCTATCGTCTATGTTTTCACTAATCTTTTTTACAGTAACATACTAACAATTTCAAGTCTTTCAATATTCACTGCAAACCTCTAAACCATCACAATGCCAAGATCTGTTCTTCCAAAATCCAAAACAAACTAAATATCATAACATCATAATCTCTGCACTAACAAACCAATCCTTGAATTCTTATCATAGATTTTAAAAGATGAATATTACTCACATAATTTCATGCAAATACATATATCTCTCATACAAATTCTGAAATTTGTTTTAACTATTTTTTGACATGTACATGGTTAGATTTTTTTTGCAGGCTTGAGATGTCATATTGTTACCAGCAATACAAACTCAGAAGAAAACATATCAGAAAAACGTAGAGGAGAAGGAGTAGAAATCAATACGCAGTCAATCTTAATATTTTGTCTTTAAAGTGTCAAATAATATGGGTTTTTATATTTTTGTTTATTATCATCATTATTATATTTATTATGGTCAGTATATTTATTATGATTGTAAGTAATTTTGATAAAGTCTCACGAATTCTATTGTCAAATAAATTGCACTATTCCTAAACTAGACGCGACAAAGTTAGAACTATTTTTATTCTCTTTACTTTTTTACTATAATATTTAAGTAGGCTTTATATTTATTTGTGGTTTTTTTAAAAATTAATAGGATTTTATTTTAATTAGTTCATTAAATCTTTGTTAATTTAATTATATTCATGTAAATATAAAATGCTAATAAACATGTCTTTAGTTTTTTAAGTAATTAAATAATTAATTCAAACAATCCATAAATAATAGGATGTCAATCTTCAGATAATTAAATCGATTGACACATTGTCTACCGGTATATCATTCAAAAATCAAATATTAAAACCAACGCAACTCACAAATTACTACATCCACGAGCAACACGTGGTCAATATCTGGCCACGTAATGAGGAGACTATATCAGACTCCCCTCACTCCGTATCTTATCTCATCATACTCTTTAATCAAATTAAAACTCAAAACAGCTGACCAACAACATCAAATCATTTTCTTCTAACATAATGAAAATCCAAGATCATTTTCGAAAAAGAATTAAGGAGAATTATTTTCAAATTAATTGTGAACTACGTCTACGCTCACACAATTTTCAACCCAGTCAAGGTTCAAGATTAATCCTAAAGAAATTCAATGAAATTTTATAAAAATACCAACCAAACTATGAACTATAAATTGAGACTCTGATTCCTTCTAAGAGGATAAGTAGGCATACGACTAAAATCGTGGCGAGTTCCCCTAATAAAAAACAAAACCCTATTTCTTATAGATTGTGTTTCTAACCCTAGTATCCTTGTGAACAAGGTAGATGAGGGGTGCCTAACACCTTCCCTTCATCTAAAACCGAGTCAAAAACCTAGAATCTCTAACTTTTTAGAGTTAACCTTTATATTCCCTTTCTTAGGATAAAAATAAAGGGTGGCGACTCTCATTTTCAAACCGGTTACAACATTAGGTATGTGAATTATTAGGATTGTGTTATTTATCCTATAGGCTGTGATAAATACACAAGTTTATCCTCATATTATCTATCCTCTAGGTTGTGGTAGATATGCGAATTATCAGGGTTATGTTATTTATCCTCTAGGTCGTTATAAATACATAAGGCTATCATCGTGTCATGTACCCTCTAAGTCGTGATGAATGCACAAATATACCCTCGTATTATCTATCCTCTACGTTTTGGTAGGCTTGCAAATTATCAGGGTTATGTTATTTATCCTCTAGGTCATGATAAACACATAAGCCTATCCTTGTGTCATTTATCCTATAGGTCTTGATAAATGCACAACTGATGATGTCAGTTGTGTCTGTCCTAACCCTCTGAGTTAAATGTGCGAGACTTTTGTATTCTCTCACCCTAGATCAAAGAGTAATTAAATAGGGGAAGCTGCCATATCACAAATTTTCTCGCCCTTTATTTCTACAGTTAAAAATATTTTCAACATTGGTTTTTATAATATTCTTTGGTTCAATTTTACTAACATTTTAACAATAATATATTTCGCTCATTTAAAAAAGTATAATAGTTTATTTCAAATTATTTGTATTTTAAATAGCAAATACTTGTTCTCTTTCGTATACTTTCAATTGGGTTTTTTTATATTTCAAATGAGTAACATAACACAATTGATAGAGAATGAAACTTGCAAGTATGAGGTCGTGAGTTCGAATATCTTGTGCTGCACTTTTAACATTTTATTTTTCTATTTTTTTCTTAGTAATTTTTTTTTCCTTTTTTAGAGATCAGACTTTGAGGTTTTTAGTGTTTTGGGTAGCTTCCTTTTTAAGTTTTTTAACCTAATTTTAACTTATAAATAAGATTATTGTCCATCATAATTTTGGGATCCAGAACTTTACAATCTCAATATTTCTCTTACTTTTGATTTATTATAAGATTTCTGAACAGAAACTCTGTGAAACAAATCATAAATTTGCGTTTCAATTTTTTAAATGTGCATATGCAAATCTGACCACGACCTCACTATCCTGTGTTCTATTTTCTCAATAATAGTTACCACTAGAATTCAAGAAAAGGAATGATACGTAAATCTGCCTAACATTGAATAATAACATGTTACCATAGATTCATAGTAAATTAATAACAAAATCTAAGAATTTATCTGTTGTTATCTTTGTTTGCTTAGTTTGTAGATCAAAGAAGAAAGGAGAAGAGGATGGATACCACTATGACACTCCCCTACAGATCACGTCTTCCCTCTGTCGAAGCGAGCACCACCGTGAATTGCTGCAAATGTCGTAAATTGTTGCAGCTCCGACTGAAGTCGACGCCCTAAGCCACCGCCGATCTCAATCACCACCATCACGGAATCATGAACGCCCATCAGACCATCGCGAACAACGACCGATCGTAACCGCACAACATCCACCAAATCACTCCCATCAGCCATTTTCGGTACCCATTTTTTTCTATATTGTTTCATATATTTAATTTATGAATGTTTTGTTGTTGTTTGATTTGTGGGTTTGAGAATACAAAGTTAGAGGGGGACAAGTTGAAAGGGAATTTTTTTTTCTGAGAAATTTTGAAGAGTAACATGGAAAGAGGTATGTAGAAGAAGAAGAAAGAATGTGTAAAGTCTATTTTTGCATTTTCCTTTCTCTGTTCTGTGCACCCACTTAGTAATATTGTTGTTATTTTCTTTTCCTAAATGTTTTTCCATGTGTCATGTTTTAATTGGTAACCATGTTTTAATTGTGAAGAAAAGTCAAAGTATTTGGTAGCTTAAGTTCAAAATGATAAGAGTGGAATGGTAAAGGAGGGGCGCTACCCCTGAGCATATATTAGTTTTTTTTTAATTAATCAATAAACTATATTTTGGATTAGGGTTATTTATTAGTTGGGGCTTTAAGCTCAAATTCACAAATATTTTCCTAACACCACCCTATTTTCAATATTACACCCCTAAAATCTTAGTTACTTAATTTGATTAATTAAGTGTAATTGTAATTGGGTGTTTAATTTTATCTAATCAAAAATTTAGTTTATTGTTTTAGTCTAATAAAAATTCAAAAATACAAAAATACTTCTTTGTAAGTTATTTTAATTAAACTAATTCAATATTTTACAAAGGTATTAAAACCCATGCAACTCACCAAATACTCAGTCCGCGAGTGACATGTGGCCAATCTCTGGCCACGTGATGAGGAAGACTTTGATAGACTTCCTATGCATCTTTCATGACAAGCAACATATGACCAATATTTGACCACATGATGAGGAGACTTTATTAGACTCCTCCCGCTTTGTATCTTATCATACTCTTTAATCTGATTGAAAACAGCTAACCAATCTCAAATCATTTTTTCCACTAACATAAATCCAAGATATTTTCGTAAAAAGGATTGAGGAGAATTTATTTCAAAATTAATTGCGAACTGTATCTACTATCACTGAACTTATAACCCAGACAAGGTTCAAGGATAATTCGAAATTAATTCTATGCAATCCTATAAAAAACACCAACCAACACTATGAACTATGAATTGGAACTTTGATTCCTCATAAGATGATGCTTAGGCATTAGACTTAAAAACCGTGGCGAGTTCCCCTAACTAAAAAATCAAAACCCTATTCCTAAACCTTAAACTTACACACTAGTATCCTTGTGAACAAGGTAGATGAAGGGTGCCTAACACCTTCCCTCTGTCTAAAGTGAGTCAAGAACTTAGAATCTCTGTATCATCAATTAGGATTATTCCGTTATATTCTCGTCTTAGGATAAAAATTAATGGTGACTGTGATACGGTGGCAGAAACGACTGTTAATACTGGTTTGTGTTTTTTGTTCACAAATGTCGCGGTAAGCAAGAGTCGCCACCGACTTTTATTTTATCCAATCAGGAAAAGGAAAAAGAACAGAAAAAACCTTTTTCGAGATATTTTTGATTACGGGGGGTAGATTATAGAAAGGGAAGGTGTTAGCACCCTTTCTATCCGTGATTTTACACGGGCTCTTAGGTACTTGCTCATTTTGAAAACTGCTTGTGTGTGCTTTGTTTTGAAAAGTTTTGTTTTACTTCGTGTTAACCCTTGTTTCTGTCCTCAAGAGTGTTACGAAGTTGTTTTTGAAAACTTTGTTTGAAAAGTATTGGTGTGAAAAAGTTTTTGTTTGTTTGAGCAAGTACCTTGGAACTAATCTACCTACTCAAAAAAGGTCTGTTCGTTTTCCTTTTAGACAATGCTATCCCATTATTGAGAAATAGGTAGCATCATCGTTGGAGTTTTTGTAGGGACATTCGAAGGGACAAATACAATCACAAAAGCAATGTTAGGAAATGTTAGTAACATCCTAAAGCCTTAAAGATATTTTTCTGAGGCAACATCCGAATGGGTCATTTTAGATCTTTCGGGGCTAGAGGACAACCGCTAACAAACCCTATACTTCATGACCGTTTATCGAAGGAAATCGGAGTGGAGTAAACCCTAGGAGTGAGCATGTGCGAGTGTAATTTTTCAGTTAATTTATCTTTACACATTTAGGGTTTTCTACCGTATTAATTTTCAGTTTGTCTTTTCCTACAATCCTATTAACATACATCTAAGCAGTTTATAGTTTGCGGAAATTAAAGCAAGAAAGTTAAAGTCCTAGCTATTACAGGGCTTTTGCAGATACATAATTATTTTGACCGAAAATAAAGATGCGGAATTAAAACCCTAATTACTATTACAAACTCGGAGCATTTACAATAATAATAATAATAAAATAATTAAAAGGTACGCGCGGCGAATTAAATGCGAGGGAATAAATTAGGAAACCTAAAACTCTAATTGAAAAAATATTTTGTTATTTTTTGAAAAAAGATTAGGTTACGTACAAATTAAACCCTAATTTCTAAATATTTTAGATTATATAAAAAAGGAATTAAATTGCCCTAATTTTAATTAAACTAATTAATTAGAGAAATAAAATATTTTTTATGAAAAATGATTTTGATGTTTTTGTAGTTTTTGATTTAATGAAAAAAATGATTTTTTGGATTATTTTGTAAAAAAGAAAATAATTAACAAAATAATTAAAATAAGAAAATAAAATAGAAAGGAAAGAGATTTGGGCATGTGTTGTGAGTAATCCAGGGGGTATGTTACTGAATTGTTTAGGCCCAAGAAGGCTGAGCCCAATCCTACGTCTGGTTTTGTGTTGCTCCCTTCTGATGGTGTACCATGGTCTTTGATGTGTGGAACGTTGGATCTGATTGGAGACGAATCCAATGGCTGGGTGGTGGTAGCGCATGATGGACGTCTTGTAGCGTAATGCATGGAACCTGCGTTCAAATGTTAAGAAAATAAAGAAAATTGTTGGGACCTAGGATCGAACCCAGGTCATCGCACTCAATACAACGCGCGCCTTGCCATCTAGGCTATCATGTTTAGTTGTTAATATGATAATACTAATATATATTATATAAAACAAAGTGAATGAACAGAAAAATGTGTGAAATTTTAATTGCCCAATCAGGCTGGGACACGCCATCGTCTTCCCCACAAATCCGTCGCTTTAGGTTAGGGACTTTTACCTACGGCCAAACTCCATGGCTATAACACTACAAGTTTCAAAAATCAACATCAAGCATGATAAATTAATTCTAAGCACATGGATCAACTTGTCTTGATGCCACGAGCATCATGGTACCCTTTTCTTGGGCCAATTTAACCTGTGCAAGGAAACCATAAAACGACCAAACAAACCCTAGCCATGGCATTCATCAATATATGCATTAAAACACAAAATTTAATAAACAAAAACATTCCAAATGATGATACAAACACAATGCTATGCTTAATAGTGAACAACTATGCGTAAACTGTAAAATCAAAGTCAAGTTTGGATATGCAAACCGTGGGTCTACAGGGAGTGATTTTGGGCTTCTCAGGACGTGCAAATAGTGCTGTTAGCTTCAGGAGATATCCAGGAATGGATTTTTGGCTTTGAATCGTCCTCTAAGCTTGAAACTGATCCACACGTTTTCTTCAAAAATTTGAGTTTTGTTTGGGGTTCTCACGACTGCAATCCTCCTTCTTGCGCATTGTTCTTGTTCAGTATATATAGTATGATGAATTAGGGTAACAAAAACAATTTGAATCTTTGTAAATCATGGAAATTGGATTTGATTTTGCTCTTGTATTATATCTTTCCAAAACAAGCATAGTCATGCCAATTTTTCTTCAATCATCCCTTGCACGATTTGATATGATATGCCAGCCTAATTGGATTTGGTTCCTACAAAAAATCAGATCAAAAATCAATCTTTTATATTTTTTTGAAATTTATTTGATTTAATCTAACTTTTAATAAATCAAAATCAAAATAAAATAAATAAATAGAGAAAGTAATATATGAATGCTGATTTGGGTCGTGGACCATGTCACAAACAAGATACAATCATGAAATGCTAGGCCCATTTGACAAAAAATGTATTTTTGAGCACATTTGACTATTGGTAATTTTGCAAAAATGGTCAACTTTGACAAGGCATATCTCCTCCAATTTTAACCCTAGAGAGGTGTTCTTGGACTTTTTAGAAAGATTAGGATGTCCCATAAACAACCCTTTTGGTTTCATCTCAATTGGGTCTTCCATGTTCATGTAAGAAGCTTTGACCCAAAAGGTGTTTTTGTTCACTTTTCAAAAGGACCTATAATGTAGAAAATCATATCTTTTGATGAGTGCATATTTTGAACTTGTGGGATGAATATGAATTGTAGGGAATTGAATCCACTTAAAAATGAGCCTTGGATGGAAAATTTTTGATGAAGTATGAAGAAGTTATGCCTGGTCAAAGTTTGGTTGACTTTTCCTATGAAACCCTAATTTAGCAACTTTTGGGTTTTGATGAATTTGGGGGCATTCCTTGAGGAATCATGATCAACCCTTGATAAAATGATGGATATCTATTCAAAATGTTGATGTTGACCAAAAATCTTGAAGTTTGACTGTATGTGGGCCACAATTGACTTTTGACCTAATACAATTGATTTTTAGGCATCTGGGCAATTGACTGAGCAAACTTCTTGTGCAAGACATGAAACTTGACATGGATGATCTTGAGAACATATTGGGACCATGGAAAGCATTTGAGACCCTTGTACTTCAACCATCTTGATGAGGAGTGAAACCCTAGTTTGAAGCTTGTTGCCTTAGGAGGAGGATTTGTCTGGTCAATCCTTAGTCATCCTTGAGCAATTGAGGACCTCTAGAGGCATGTCTTGAGTGAAATGAGAGGGAAAATTTTAGGGTACAACAACTGCCCCTATTAAATCTTCTTAAACCTGAGGATGTAGATTGGCTTGTCTGCCTTTCGTAATCTGAAGGTGGAAGATGATTGAACACTAGAGTGCCCAGAAATTTGCACTCGTTTGAGATGGTGCTGGATTGTGTAGGTAGTATCGG